AGAAATGGTCCTGGACAAGTCTCTGCAAATGCCACTCAGAGGGGCCCTGCCAGTCTTCAAATGGTGAAAGGGAAGCGCCGGGGTCCCTCCAAGCAGCGCTTGCAGAGGCTTGTCCAGCACCATTTTTGAAGATTGCGCCCTTTCCCCTTGCCGTCGGTAAGGCTCCAAATAGGAAAAGGCTTTCTTTTTTTCCCCTTTTTCCATTCGTAGGCTTTCTGAAGGCAGGGGGAGAGGGCGCGATCTTCAAAAATGGTGTTGGACAAGCCTCTGCAAGCGCCTCTCACCACTCGGAGGGACCCCTGCCAGTCTTCCGATGGTGCAAGGGAAGCGCCGGGGTCCCTCTGAGCAGCGCTTGCAGGGGCTTGTCCAGCACCATTTTGGAAGATCGCACCCTTTCCCCCTGCCTTCGGTAAGGCTCTGAATGGAAAAAGGCTTTCTTTTTTTTTCCTTTTTCCATTCAGAGGCTTACAGAAGGTAGGGGAAAGGAGTGTGATCTTCAAAAATGGTGCTGGGCTAGCCTCTGCAAGCGCATTCATTGTGCGAAAAACAGCCATAGCAAGAATTGTCTTGTGAGGCACCAAAAAACTCACCGGACCCATTTGTCTAACGAGTTTTTTGTCCGGCGAGGCAATCGTCTTGCAAGGCACCACTGTATTTGGATAAAACGTTATTTTGGGCTGACACCTTAGTGATATAAGAAAGGTAGAAGCTTCCATATTGTGTGTATATGTTACAAAGTGAGTATATCTACTTTGCACTGCTAGCATATGTTATCAAAGAGAAATACAACTCTGATGAATATGGGTAGTAAATGCCAGCCAGTTCTTGTAGTGTATTGCTTTATTATGTCTGCAAACTGCTAACCATCATGACATATGAGAGTGATTTTTTTAAAAAAAATAAAACATATTGCAAAAAAATTGTAAGGAAACAGCTGATGCAAGTTCAAAACCAAATGCTGGTTTTTCCAGCATTTGCTTTTTAATAAAACTCCTTGCTATTTGCTTGTAAGTAATAACCAAATACTTTTGTGAGGAAATGATGGTGAGTTACAGCCAACATGCAATGATAACAGAAAGGTATTCATATGGGTTAGGGGAGAAAATCACATTTGTTTATGGGTGAATGCCAACAATAATAATTCTTCACCTTCTCCTTCCCCCTCCTCCACCCCTTTTTCTTCTAATCACAAGTTGTTCAATGAGAAGTGTCAAATGAGAAGTGCCATTAATCAGAGTGATGTGGCAACCTCAAGAGTGAAATCCTTACAAGCATAGATGAGAAAAGTTACTTCATTGTACTACAACTACAAGTGGCCAGCAGGTGTGGTCACAGGCTTTTCCTGTTTCTTCTTACAGGATGTAGTGGCTATAACCCCTCTATTCAGTCTTCCTGATCTATTCTCTGGGTGTCCCCTCTGCCCCTCCCCTTTGCTGTTCTCATCTTTCTAAACAAGTATTATATCAGCAGTGACATTTATTATTGGTCTGAGCTAGGGAGCTGGCTACCTAATTGCCGTCCTCAAATGTACCACAGGCAGCATTTGGAGAGAGGCCTCTGACTCGCGCAACCAACTATGTACAGTATTTCAGATAACCCATTATTAGAAGAGGAGTTTGTCAACTGTTTGAAGATAGTCATCAAGAGAGCTAACCTTCTACACTCTGATGTAATGAAGAGGACTCTATCCCATCTCCAATATACACTCAGTACTCAACTGCCAGTCCTGTTGGCTAGTGTATATGGAATAGAGTGATGGAGGCGTCTGGTCTTTTGCTTCTTTCTGGTTGCAGTGACCTAAGTTGGTTGTGCAAATAAACATGCTAGGCTGGGGTCCACTTAGGTAACTGCCTACACAGAAAAAGCAATATCAGCTGATCCAGGAAGTGCCCACAAAAAGATATTCTCCTTCCCTTCATCCCTGCCCCAGCCCTCCACATCATCCAAAGTTCTGCTTTGGAGGAATTCCTAGCATTTAATAGCAGATATTTAACATGTGCAGAGGTTGCAGGGCAGAACACCTGTTCAGGGGTCCACTTTCTATCAGCACAAGTATCTGAGTGGATAGAATGAACGGGGAATACAAAAGACCATGTTTATGTAATATTTTCTTCATGTAATGAGAAGATAAAAACAATTATACCATCCCTTCAGAACAGTGGTTCTCAGGCTGATCTGTGGATAGTGGCCATGTGCATGAAACTCCTTGAATTATCAGAAAATACAGTGGTGCCTTGCTTAACAATTGCCCCGCTCTATGACGAAATCACTGTACAATTAGGTTTTTGCAATCGCTTTTGCAATCGCAAAACAATGTTTTAAATGAGTTTTTTCGTTTAATGATGATCGGTTCCCTGCTTCAGGAATCGATTTTCGCTTTACGATGATAAAAAACATGGGGTTTCAAAATGGCCACCGGCTGGTTAAAATGGCTCCCCGCTGTGTTTTTGGACAGATTCCTCACTTTACAGGCAGCGAAAATGGTCACCCCTATGGAGGATCTTCGCTGGACGGTGAGTTTTCAGCCCATTAGAACGCATTGAGGGTTTTTCAGTGCGTTTCAATGGGCTTTTTTATTTCGCTTTACAACGTTTTCACTCTACAGCGATTTCGCTGGAACGAATTAACATCATTAAGCGAGGCACCACTGTATTGTAAAGAAAAAGGAGGGGGGAAATCCTTATCTCTCACATACACACTCCCTCTCTCCCTCTCCCTCTCCCTCCCCTCATGTTGATTTGGAAAAGGGGAAAACTGAAGTTGCTGCAGAAGCATCTGCTCAGCAGAGATCCTACAACTCCTTGCAGTCTTTTCAAGTGGAAGAAAGGAACGGGCTTGATGTCAGGCTTTAGTGTCAGCTTCACTTTCAGTTAAGACCAGATGTTTGCTTGGTACGTAGGCAGGTATTAAGTTCATTCTTCCCTAGTTACATTCCACAGGAGAAATGGCTCTTAAGAATTCTTTCACACAGGACAAATTTTGGAAGTTAGTAGCCTGCTAAAATTATAGGACCCAGGATCCAGACCAATAGTGATTATTATAAATACAGCACCAAAAATGTATGTGGCATTGACTAATACCAATGAACATCTGCTTCCTCCTTCCTCCACAAAGTCAGATTCCCACTTCCAGTATGAATTATTGCAAATCTTTTATTTTTGAAAAAAATATAAAACAAAAACATAGAGACCTTAAAAATATCAAATAACACAAAAGAATAAAAATATACAAATTTTGCTTCCCTTTGAAGATATAACTATTATTTCCTCCATTTATGAAGCCCCATAAGTTGCATGGACTCATGCAAAATGCACCTCCCTTCCCCTTTATTAGCACAAAATCAATAAATTCTCCCCAAATATCTATAAAAATTTCTTATCAACCCCCTTTTTACTTTCATATTACACATTATAATGAAGCTATATCCCAAACCTCAATTAACTGAACATCATACTTTGTTTTCCAGTTCCTACCTGCTGTTAATCTTGCCACTGTTAATAAATCTGATTTTTTAATTTCTCCAATTGCTCCTTATCAAATACCTCAAATTTAACATTTCAGTATATTCACACATTCTCACTATGTATGAAAGTACCTGTTTTCTGGCATTCTCTTCAACACAACTTGGAATTATTAGTGTCTGTTTAATTTTACCAGTTAAATATAATCTCCAGACTAATTTATAAAAATTCTCCTCTGTCCTTACAGACATACATTTCTGTATTCTTATATTCCGCCCTTTCCCCTCCCCAAACTCTGGTACTTCATTCTTCCCCCCAAATCATGTTCTCATGTTTTAAGCAAATTCTGTTGGTCCTCTGCTTCCAATAAAAATTTTATAATTTTTACTTATAATTCCTTTGAA